AGATCTTCCTTCTCTAAAAGCGGCTTGTTCGTCTTTGATTATCCCCCTGATATTAGCCAATCTTGAAGTTTATAATTTAGGTGTTGGCATACAGTTTACTAATAACGCTTATAAGACTAATGGGTCTATAATTGCCTGGGTCATTTCTATTACCTTTTTTATAAATTGGAATGATAATTGCTACTCCCCAATCTCTAGGCATATGGCCTGTTTTATCTATAAATGTAAAAAGTGATGCTAAAAGTGGAGCCCACCAACTGGCATTCTTTTTTATTATTTCTGGCAGGACATTATCAGCCCTGGGTGCCTTATTAGCCTTTAGGGCTCCGATCAACCAGGATATCTCTTCTGATGTAACTGGGGGCCAGTAAGGATTTTGGTCCAAACTAGCTTAGCTCTCCTTGGTTACATAGTCAGGACCTGTATAAAGCTCCCTAAAATACTCTTCCCAGGCATGAATCGGAACCTGATTTGTTGGCGGTAGGGGAGATTTTCCCAATCTTCTGGTGATGTACCAAAAAAGGGATGGAATCATGACAATAAAAACTATAAAGAGGCAGGGAAGAAATCTTACTTCTCTTCATTCAGAATGTAGCTCCTGGTAAAGTAGCTTCTCCCTATTGTGCTCTGCATTGGGAAAGCTTCTATGCTAACTGAATTTCTGTTTCTGATACATAGAATACTGAACTGATGCAGGCTTTGGTTGACTTAATAGGATTAGTCTAATCATTATTGGTAGTAGAATATGAACACAACACATTTGGAGGTTCAACTTCTCATCAATTAAAATGATTTTATAGGTCATCCAGGGAATGAATGCAGACAAGAAACTGTCTTTATGCTTATTTATATTGTTTTTGGCGGAGGAGGATTTAGAGGGATAGCAGGGATAATTTAGCAGAGATAGTTCAGCAGGATAACAGGGGTAAATTAGCAGGATAATTAAACTTGGATTAACTGAAGACAACTGTCTTCAATGTGTTCACTGTTTCATTTATATTTAAGCAAATGAATTCACATAAATTGAAATTTTCTCATTGGTCCATGTCATGCTATTCTGTGATTTTTATAGAGATTGTAGCAATTGTCAGATAAAATCATTATTATTATGATTATTATAAGACATTACTTGATTATCTGGATGCATTTTATGTTTAATATATCTTATTAAATATTCTAAAATAACATATTTGTGGTTAAATTTGCATATTTGCAATGCAAAACTTGCAAACAATTAATCAAGCTGCAGATTAGATAGATGGACAAATTTGACAGACACAGTAATAATTTATTTCTATTCCTTATTTATTATTTATTTTGCATGCTGCCTTTATTATTTTTACAAATAACTCAAGGCAGCAAACATATCCAACACACCTTTCTCCTCCTATTTTCCCCACAACAATTCTATGAGGGGTGGGGTTGGGATGAAAGAGAATGACTGGCCCAAAGTCACCCAAGCTGACTTTCATGGCTAAGATGGGACTTAAACGCATAATCTCCTTCTTTTCTACTCTGGTGCCTTAACCACCAGACCAAACTGATTCTCTCTACTGCTGTTGTTCTACTGCTATTTCATATGTCATTTTTTATCTGGGAATGCAAATGAATTTTGATTTCTTTGTTAATTCAATCAAATAAATGTCATATCCATGCATTTATATCATTGTTGATTATCTCCAATTGTTTAACTTTTTTATTTTTATATTTAACATAAACTTTAAATATAGGACAACATTGTAGCATCTATTACAGTGTTTCTCAACCTTGGCCACTTGAAGATGTCTGGACTTCAGCTCCCAGAATTCCCCAGCCAGCGAATGCTTGAAGTTGAAGTCCAGACATCTTCAAGTGGCCAAGATTGAGAAACACTGATCAATTATTACCAACATAGACATTTTATATATTAACTAATATTATACTATGTGATACTACATAAATACATAATATATAGCTGCCAAATTTTGTTTTTGTATATGGGTATCACAATATAACTATGGTTTATCTCATATTTTTATATTATTATGCTGATCAGTTATAATAGCAAGGTTGATTTGAACATTTCTTATCAGTAATTACCATTAAAAATCAGTATTTCCTTAAGTGGAAACAGGATGAGTTACTTATCTTAGTAAAAAAAACCGGACCTCTAAATTGCTCTTCATTAAACTTTCAAATCTTCAAGGAAATTTTATTCTAAACATCATCCTAGCTGTAGAAAATTTAGAACAAATTAAGCAAATTTAAGTAGATATGGCACAATGGTGTGATTTAAAACTAAATGCACTGATACGTTTGTCTATAATCTACAGAATTATATTTAGCATTGACAAATGTGATATATTTTAATGGAGGGAGAAAGGAAAACAAAAAATCCAAATGTGCAAACTAGAAAAACTGGTTTAACCTTAGTATTATCAAACTTGTGTCGTACTGGAACATGAGTCAGCTGAGTGATCTTATAAAAAAGGAGATGTAGAAGGAAATAGTAAATCAAAATACTGAGCTATAATTCACAGATTCATAAGGTTAAATGTATAGTATTGCACTTTTCAAAGAAAAAGAAATACTCCAAAGAGTTACATTTAAGACAAAGGGGGGGGGGGGCAACTGCTGGGTCCTATTTAATTCATAGGTCTAAACAATGGCAACTAGAAAAACAACTGAACGCTTTAAAAACTCACATTATAAAAGGTAATGAAAAGCCATGTACAGGGTGTATACAAATTATCCAAACATACAGTGAACACTGATAGGTCAGGGCACATGCTTCTAAAACAAATTGGAAAGTTTTATAACATAGAATGTTGATAATTGGAGACCCTGTTAAGAGTCATCTGAAAAAAACGCCACCTTTCCTTTGCCAGGTCACTTTTGTATCTCTTTTCCCATCTTAATATGCCGGTTTCCCTCCACCTACTCTAACTAATTTTTTTTATTTTGCATTTGGAAACAGACTGCCTGGAGATTAAACAAAAAAAATTAATGATTGACTGAACTGGAACAGCTCCTTTACAATAAATAGAAATGTTGGTACGCAAGCCTTTAATGGAAAACACAGCAGCTGCCAATGTGTAAAATGGACTTCAAAACAATCTTCACATCACCCTCAGCTCTCCACAAACTTCCTCCCTTTCCAATTTTTACATTTATTTGAATATATAATTTTTACATTTATTTGAATAGATACACACACACAAACACACACACACACACACACACATTCTCCAGGCACTGAATCTGGTGTCAGTCAAATATAAAGTAAAAAATAGCCACAATAACAAAGGCCTGACAGAATAGCAGAATGGCAAAACATCTAAGAAAGAGCTGGATTCTGGCAATTATGTGGCCTTGTTGATTAAAATGGCTACTGCCTAGGTCTAGTGCAGTGGCTCTGCTGGCTGGAGAATTCTGGGAGTTGAACACAAGTCTTAAAGTTGCCAAGTTTGGGAACCACTGGTCTAGTGCTTCAAAGGCAAACTCTGCCCAAGGAATCGTTTTATGATTATGTGAAATTGTCAATAGAAACATCCTGGCAAGGAAAAGCCACCATACATATATATTTACCTGACACCTGATATCCAAGCAAACTTAGCATTCTTAAGAATAAAAGAACTGGTGCCTTCATGGAAAGATAACTGTTAAATACAACAAATAAATGTTACTCAATGCATTTGATGACCTTCGATTCATTTTAAA